TTTCGACATTCTAAAACTGTTGGAATCGACGGAAATCCGATTCGAGTCTCGAAACTCCAAATGACTCGAAATAGCACTTTTAACCAAACTTTAACTCTTAAAAACTCAACTTTCCAAAAACTCAACTTTTCATCAATTTTCCTTCAAACCAACTTCGAAAATACAACAATTAGGACTCGGGGCAACTATCGGGAGGGGTAAAACGGTCATTTTATGAAAATTTCCAAAAATGACCTTTAGGGTCATTACAGCAGCACAATGAGAACTAAAAGAAAACTCGGGTAATTTGAATAGAAATATATGAAATTTTGAAATCTCTAACTAACAACTATCTATACCAGGATATGGATTCGATTGAAGGGTAGATAAACTAATTAATTGGAATCAACGTCAATCAGTGTGATTGTCAAAAACTTATACTGACATAGAATTAGAAGGCACAAATAAAGAATAATATAATACATAACTTCAATACAGAGTAAACAAATAAACAAACAAAACAATCAATGAGAGGAGATAAAAGTTAACCCAATTACTTCAGGTAAAATTGACCAGTAAGATCATCATAATAAAAAAACTTACATCAGCTAGAAAGTCCTAATTAAAACATTACTTAATTTCTGCAGATGATGCCTTTTCATCTTTATGATCAAATCAAGTTTATGAAGATCTAGATATATAGTGCAATATCATTATAATTCATTATACGCATTCAAATTCTTCATCAGAGGAAAACACATCTCTATACAATAATGTCAAAATTTTGCGAAAAATCTTTATGCCGCCACAAGGTATAAGCTGTACTTTATATCTTATAATTGGACTTTTAATTTTTTTTTTCTCACAAAAACTTATTTGTATCCCATTAACATTATTCCTTGTTGTTTGTGAACATAACACTTTTGTTACGTGAAATAAAAATACATATCAAAGATGATACAGTCAAATATTATCAATTTCAATGCAACATGAACTTATCAAAATCTCTTTATTTTAATCATTTTCAGGTATGTGAACCTTTCTTCTTATAAAGCATTTTACTTGTCATTTCAACGACTCACTTTGTTAGTTATATTCCTCTTCGGATTATGTTTAGCTATTTATGGAAAGCACATCTGTTTTATCATTAAACAAAAAGTTATATTTACAAAAAGTATACTTATTGTATATAATTAAAAATAAAAGTAAAGTTACATCTTTATTTCAAAAGAATTGTCCTTGAGTAGAAATTTTTTTCCAAATAAAAATTGTATCTCTTTATATTGATGGAAGGGTGAATACACAAATCTTCAGTCCTATTTTTAACAAAATAATATTGAATATTTAATTTCATCTCCCCTATCTCTCCACAAGGCATTTCTACCATTAGAACTTCGAAGTCAGTTACAATTCAAACTCCCTCTGGGCTCTGATAATATATGGTCACTTGGCGGAGTTCATGATTCGATCTGAATTAACTTTTGATTAATTTTAAAATTAAATTAGGTTAATCAATTTTTAAAATTTTAAAAACAAACCAAATCAAATAAAATATAAACCATTGATTTGGTTCAATTTTTCGATTCATAACTAGCTAATGATGAATTGATAATAGTAAAATAATTAAGACATGACGAGTAACTATTTGAAATGAACTTTATAAATCAACAAGTTTCTCTTTATTATTACAAGATAAATGTATCCAAATCTTCTATTATTTCTCGGGAAAATGCATAAGTATCCCCCAGCCTATGCCCGAAATCTCAGAGACAAACCTAACATTTACTAAGGTCCTATTACTCCCGAACTTAATTTATCTATAATATTCTACTCCTTTTCGGCCTACGTGGCACTATCCTTGAAAAAATTGTCAACGTGCGCTGGGCCCACAAGATAGTGCCACGTAGGCCAAAAGGGGTAGAATATTACATATAAATAAGTTCAGGGGGGTAATAGGACCTTAGTAAAGGTTAGGTGTGTCTCTGGGATTTCGGGCATAGGCTGGGGGGTACTTATGCATTTTCCCATTATTTCTCTAACATATTATTTCAAAAAGTAGAATATGATGCTTTGATGAAAAATCAGACTTGGGAAGCGGTTCCACGAGACTCAACGAAGAATGTTGTGAACTGCAAATAGTTGTATCGCATTAAAAGAAAAGCAAATGACTCTATAGATCGATACAAATTAAAGCTGGCCTGACTTGGATTTTCATCAAACCTTTAGTCCTGTCATCAAGCCAACATCAATGCAAATTGTGTTATCCATAGCAGTGCAACACAAGTTGAGGGATGCCAATTTAACCTTATCGTTACAACTATTCCATTGTTTTCATCTACATTACAGTAATAGCTTTTCTTTGGAACTGAAGAAAAGCAGTTCTTTAGGTAATAGGATATATACGTAACACTAACATAAATTTCTCAACGGCAGAAACAAAAGTCATTTCAAATTTGCAAAAATTCCAGCAGATTCAGAAAAGATTACATGAGCTCTTGCTCATAAAGTTATTACAAGTACATCATAAGTCAAGTCTGCAATTTATTCAAACACTTGAAGAAACATAAATTTCTAAACAGTAAGTTGTTTGGTAGCCATTAACAATCGTTTCAAATTACCAAAAAACAAAACAAAAAACAAATGAGCTTTTGCTTACTAAGTCATTACAAATCATTGTTGACATTTATTCAAACACTTCACTTCTTGCTGAAAATCCCCCGAGCTGAGGCCATGTTCCGTCTTTCTGTTTACAAGCCTAAAATGAATAATTTTTTTCTTTTTGGTAACCAGACAAGTATAGTACTAACAAATATGGCGAAAGAGTGGAAATGGCAAGAACATACCGGATAAGAGTCAATGAGATGATCTTGTGTCCCAATCTGGAGGTTGTATTGTAACTCTGAACGCATAATTTGCCATATCTTCATGTTGTGTTGTTTGAAATTCCTGAGCTGAATTGGCAACAGACCAGCTGCACCAGTTTACTTCAATGTTTAGAGATGCAACATCCCCAAAATGACAAGGGATTTTCTCAAGCTTCTTGCATTTCGTTAACACTAAATGTTCAAGCTTAGGAAAAGCATCATCCATGACAGACCACTCTGCAATGTTGAGGTTGTCCAATTTTAAGTATTTGAGTTCAGGGAAATCCGAATCTTTCACTTCCCATTCATTCCCTTCAAAGGCTCTGAAAAGTAACTTTAGAATCTCCAAGTTCGGAAGTTTGCCAACTGTCCAAATTTGGGTCCAAGGTAGACGAAAATTCGACAAAGTCAATTCCCTCAGATTTAAGGGGAAATTGAATTCGTGAGGATGTTTAGTTGGATAACTGTACGAAAGCAGCTTCAGAGATTCAAGCTGATGTAGAAAGTCTAATCTAGGAAAACGAACAATGCTTCCTTTAGTTGAATAACCCAATAATCCCTCAACTATGCATCTCAGCTTTCTCAAATTTGGCATGCTTCTCAATATCTTCTCTGCATCTTCACCAGAGGAGAGACATGGAGTGGAAAAGGTCTCCAAATTAACTAATTGTGACTCACACATGTTATCGTGCAGACTGAATGAAGCACGACTATTTACATGTACATGCCTCAATTTAAACATCTTGAGAAGTGAACAAGGTAACTTCAACACTCTATGCAATCCGTTAACCACGAAAGTTTCAAGATTCCAAAGATCAGCTACGGATGAAGGAATAGAATCAGCAGTTGTTCGAACAGCGAAGTACCTCATATGAATTAGAGATTTTAATTCATTAGGAAAGGTATCACCTATGTTGATGGATTCCAAATTCAACACCTTAACAAGTTTGAATCTGTTAATGATGAAGGAGATATTATGTGCCATTGCAGGGTAATAATCATCACTGCTGGCATTGAATAGCAAAGAACGAACACTTGATCCAGCCTGCTGCCACTGAGCAAAGTCATCCCATTTAGAATATATAGACAAGCGGTATATCTCGGGCTTTTCAGGATAAGAAATGGAATCCACACCATGGCCACTGTTCAAAGAAAAAACATGAAAATGAGAATTGTGATGAAGGTTATCAGAGTAAAATCGATATAATTTTTTGTACCTATGTATCCAGAACAGGAAATTATCTTGCTTGGCCTTTTCCACACAGAATTGATGCAACAAATCATGAACACGGCAGGTTTTCAATTTTCCATTGGATCTCTTCTCCATATCCGTTACCAAATTTTTTCTAATAAGATCTTTCAGGTAATCTTGGGCAGCATCTTCTGATCCTTTTTCCTTACTGTCTTCAACAATTCCTTCTGCTAACCACACTCGTGACAATTTCGAGACTGGAATATCCTTGCCCCTCAAAAATCCTCCAAAATAGAGAAAACACGGTTTTAGATGGTTTGGTAAATTCTTGTAACTGAATCCAATTATAGACATGCTCTCTTCTGAGCTCCCAATGTTGTGTGAACTAAGACTTTCTTCTACTTCTTTCCAGCAATCTGCTTTCTTCTTTTTCTCTTTGAGAACACCAGCTACTAAGACAATTGAGAGAGGCAGCCCTCCACACCTTTTCGCTATTCGTAATCCCACATCTCCGAGTTCACATGGGAAGCTTTGACCATGAAACAACTCTTCCTGTAGTAACTTCCAGCTCTCATCATCTGTGAGTAAACGCAGAGGATGGGGATCGCTGTTACATTTAGCATAATCGGCAACCTCATACAGCCTCGTTGTCAGAATAATTCTACTCCTATTCTGAGAACCTTGAAAACACATTTTCAAATCGTCCCATGCTGTTTTATCCCACACATCATCAATGAGAATTAAGAATCTCTTGGTCAATAAAACACGACGCAGCTCAGTAGCTAACTCGTCATCTCCTTTTTTGGTGCGATCAGCAGGCTCAAGAACATCATTCAAAATAGTAAGCAACAAATCTCTCCATGAATATACTTGAGTCACATGACACATAGCACGAACATCAAAGTGAGAGACAACTGTGGGATCATTGTAAATCTTCTTTGCAAGAGTGGTTTTACCATTTCCAGGCATACCAAATATCGAGATAACATCTAGCTGATGCGATCCTCCAAGAAGCTGCTTCTTTAATTTGTCCATCACATCTTGAAACCCCACCATTTCTTCATTTGCTCCTGAAGTATTAGCTGATAATGATGGTACAATATTAGTGGAACCTTTTGCGACTCGGTTGACATCAATCTCCTCTCTTTTGAGGTTCTCACCAACATCTTTATTGACAAGCTTAATATTCTCAACAACTTCGGATATCCAATAAGCTTTGTACATCTGTGAGTAAGAACAGGCCAAGCAAGTGTCAATGACATACTCGGCTTTGTATGCCATTTCAGTAGCACTGATTATAAGACCACAAATTTCATCATGCTCATCATAGGTTTCTTCCGGATGATCGAAAAATGATCTTAGAATCAATAATTCCTCCTTGACTAATACAATCTGAGGCTTCAGTTTGGTAATTAGGTCAAGCTTAGAGTGTAACAGCTCCTCCAACTTTCCCAAGAAACAATTGAGAAATCCTAATCCATCGGTCTTGGGGAAGTTGAGCCCTGTCACTTCATGAAATTCAGAAGTAATAGTTTTGACCTCTGCCTCAACAAAATTAAACACTTGTTTGACATCATAGAGATATAACTGGTGGAACCAAGCACGACTATCACCACTGACAGAGAAGAAAATGACATACTTTTCCCCATAGGCAACATTTTGAACACGTTCCATAAGGTCTTTGAGTTCTGTATGCATATTGCACGGCTTTAAAATATCAGCAAGAAACTCCAGTTTCTCTTGAACTACTGGGATTTGATTCCTAACGACCGGGATCACGTCACCCCTAGAATGCAGATGGTTCAGCATGTCCAATAACATGTTGATAAGGCATTTCAGATCTGTCACAGTGATATAGGAGGCTGATTCATCCAGCAACTGAAAGCATACTTCTCTAATCTCTGCATTGACAGACTTGGTCTCTTTTAGGAAATCGGATAATGAAAGACTCATATCCGCAGAGCTACTTCCATCCACGAAATTTTCATAACTACAAGTGCTAATTAATGTTGACTTGTGGGCAGCCACTTCAGCATGCATTAAGAGACCATCTGATTTGTTAAGCTCTATCGTCTGTTGCCCAAGAAGATCAATGAGAAAGACTATAAGGAAAATTAGCTCTTCATTAGCATTTTCCACCAGATTCAGTAATTCAGTTTCAAGAATGGCTTTGTGCTTTAGTTGATCCGTCAACTTCCCCTTGCACTTGATTAGCATGAAAGCCACAGTTAAAAGTTGAAGCAAAAGATTGACCTTCTTACTCCTGTTGCTTTGCGAAGAATCTTCATATGATAAACGGATAGCAGCTTTGGCATCAATCGCTAAAGCTCCAATTTCCGACAAGAGATTATTTTGCTTCTTGCATTCAGTGTACTGAATTCGGGGATCAACAAGGATTGATACAAAGAGCAGCAAACTGTGGTAAAACCTTTTGAGTTTATCTGAATCAGTAAGTTTCAGATCAGCTTCATCCTTTAGTAGCAGATTTTCGAAAATATATTCATGGAACCTTAGCAAAACCTCATCCATCTTCGGGCTATCAGAGGAGGATTTCAACTTTGTGAAATAAGAATCAATGACCTCGAAGTAAGTAGGAAGAAAGTTCAGCGGATATATCACATGATGATCTGGTGTTGATGCAGAAAAGGATGGACAAATCTGCCGAATCGCTGCCTTAATAAGCTTAAACTTAAGAAGCAATTGAAAGTGCAAGAGATTAATTTTGCTCATCAATTCTCTTTCCTCTGAATCACGAGAAAGAGAAGTAATGCATGAGTGTGCTTCAGTGGCCACAGATAGAACTAAGGGCAATACATGTGATGCATCTACCTCGACAAACTCGGTCTCCTGTAGGAAATCAGATATTTTCCCTGTGTTGCTTCCATCCACAAAACTTTCATAACTACAAGTGCTAAACTTGTGGGCAGCCACTTCAGCATGCATTAAGAGATCATCTGATTTGTCAAGCTTTGTCGTGTGTTGCCTGAGAAGATCCATGAGAAAGCCTCTAAGGAAAATAATCTCTTCATGAGCATTTGCCACAAGATCCAAAAATTCAGTTTCAAGAATAGCTTTGTGCTTTAGTTGATCCATCAACTTCCCCTCACACTTGATTAGCATGAAAGACGCAGCCAAAAGTTGAAGCAAAAGACCGACTTCCCTACTTTTGCTTCTGTCCAAAGCATCCTCATACGATAAGCGGATAGCAGCTTCGGCCTCAATCGCTAAAGTTCCAATTTTTCTCAAGAGATCATTTTGCCTCTTGCATTCAATGTACTGCATTGGGGGATCAACAACAAGTGTTACCAAGGGCATCAACCTGTGGTAAAACCTTTTAACTTTATCTGTATCAGTAAGTTCCAGATCTGCTTCAACCTTTAGTAGCAGATTTTCAAAAATATATTCATGAAACTCCATGAAAACCTCATCCATCGTCGGGCTACCAGCGGAGGGCGATGTCTTTGAGGATTTCAGCATGGTGAAATAAGAACTGATGGCCTCAACATAAGTAGGAAGAAAGTTCAACGGATATATCACAGGCAGAACTGGTGTTGATGATGCAGAAATGAAGGGACAAATCGCTTCCCTAATAAACTTAAATTTAAGATGTAATTGAAAATGCAAGAGATTAATTTTCCTGGCTAATGCTCCATCCTCTGAATCACGAGAAAGAGAATTAGTGAATGACTCTGCTTCGGTGGTGACAGATAGAACTAAGGTCAAGACATCAGTTAGCTGAGTCTGCACTTTGCACTTGTCCAATGAATCCATGAGGAACGTTTTCATGGAAGTCAATTCTTCCTGAAAGCAGTCCACCTGGGACTCTGGTAACCTTAGTTTCTGAAACAGACTGATCTCTACCTTGAGATACTTAAACTTCATTTGCAAAGGAAGAAATATAAGGTCTACTTCAGCAATATTGTTCTCTAAGTCTATGTCACACAAGCAGTAGATTGCAATTGCTGCCTCTATGGCCAGAACTTCCAGAAATGAGAGCAATGAACTCAAGTCTTGTCGCTGGCGATCTAATATCTTGTGAAATTCAGAGAGATGAAGAAGTCCATCTTGGAGCCATTCAAATCTATTGGAAAAAGCAACATTCAAACTGGCATCATGACTTTTCAGCTTTTCCAGATCGTATCTGATAGACTCAGTAAACTTCTGAGCAAGATCAAGATCAAGATCATGTGATAGATTCTTAAGACCACCATGCATCAGTGGAGCTGACGAATGTGATGCTTTCAGGAAACTGATATAAAGCTTCCTCCATTCAGGCCTAATAGGATTTATCCTTTCTAGCAATTTTGAAATCTTGGACTCGAAGTCAGGACCAGCGAACACATTATATGTTACCCAAATAGAAGACTTGGGCGCTGATATACGTGCCGAGTACTGGTCATACGTCTCCCAACACAAGATAGATAGGTAAGTTGCAGTTTTAGCTATATCCTCAGCAAGGGTGAAGAGATCCTTTATTTTCTCATGTTCAATATTGCACCGCTTTGCGGTAAACTTGAGGAGAACTCCCAGATGTTTAAACTCCCGAAATGTAATCTTTGTCAGATATTCAACAGTATGGCAAATACTTGTGACGACGTTCACCATATCCATAGTGATCATACGGGTGGATGATGATGTTGATTGCTTGGAAGGACTGATAAATCGCTCAGCAATAATCTCAGGTTTGATCATTTTCATCACCTCTGAAATCATTTTGACTGTCTCACTTGTCAGGCCTTGATTCTTCAAAAGAGAATGTATCTCACAAAAGCCATCATTGGCTTCATCGATTAAGGGCTTAAGTTGCGCAGATACCATATTCTTACAGTTTTCCTTCTTCAGCCAACCGAAATAATACCATAAATTATCTACAATCGCCCTAGCATAGTCCAATTGATCCTTGGCTGAACTATCTAACTGCCCCGTCTTTACACAATCGCTGATGCTTTTTTTTAATATAAAGCAAGAATCTTCGGCCATCTACTTGTTGATAAGATCCTGCAACTAACAAAGAATGACCAAGTCAAATCTCATACATTACTGAATGTTTTTTTTCTTCAATGCCAAGTCAAATCTTTTAGATACGACCTCCTCTTAATATTTCAAACTCTTTTCATTATATATTTCACTCAAATCAATTATGTTTGCGGCAGGTCAAATTTTAAAATCAGTGCAGACAAAGGGATCTGCTCTTTGAGATCAAAAGGTCAACTATCCAAAGACGATTCTGACTAGCAAAAAGGATGTGGGTGTAGTGGATGGAGTTTTTTTTCTTAACTACAAGTTTTGGATTCGACTTCTCCTGAACCACAAGTCATGGCCCTAGCGTGAATCTAGAATATTCGGACTTCAATATGATGAGATTCGGAATAATTTTGTCGGAACTGGGTACAATCTTAAAGCTTTTCAATTAATAAACACATGAAGAGTTAATTGAGAAAAGAAAAAAGAAGATAAACTTACTTGGATTTATCTGATTAAGCATTGAAAGTTCAATACTGCTGAAACTTTAAGGGGTCGTTTGGTAGAGTGTATAAGAATAATGCTGAATATGATGCATTAGTAATGCATGCATTAGTAATGCAAGCATTAGTAATGCTTGCATTATTTCTTATACATTGTTTGGTTTGATGTATTGAAATAGCAAGCCTTGTATTAAGACTATTAAAAAAATATTTATTTACAAAAATACCCCACATTCTTTTATTCTGTGCACTTTATTATTATTATTATTATTATTAGGCTTATTATCATTATTATTATTATTATTATTATTAGGCTTATTATTATTAGGCTTAGAGGGTAGTTTTGTCATTAGCTAATCTAATGCATGCATTAAAACCATTGCATTGCTAATACCTAGAAATCCATGGTATTAGCAATACACACCTTAATACACAATAGAGTGTATATACATAGGTTGGAAAAGAGTACCAAACAAGGTACTAGTAATACACAATGCTAATGCATGCGTTATTTTTTCTAATACACTCTACCAAGTCTTCCGGAACCATTTAATTTGGATGACTAGAGAAGTTGAATTGGCTTTGGCTCTTTAAGTCTTTTCTTATTCTTTTATTTATGTAATTTTATCGAGAAAATGACATAAATAGTCATTTAACTATAGAAGTAGGTCTAAAATAGTTCCTTAACTATACACTTATTTTAGTCCTTTAACTATTCAAAAATTTATCAGTTTTGGTCCCTTAACTATACACTTTTAGTCCCTTAATTATAATCTTACCGATTTTAGTTCTTTAAGTATTCAAAAACTTATCAAGTTTGGTCTTTGTCCCTTTTTTTAATACAAATAGCTTAGGTTAATATAAACGAAATCTATACCCCGAGAAATTAAATCCTTTAGCAATTTTTTCTATTGTTTCTCTCTCTCCGCTACTTTTTCTTCAAATTAACCTTATGCGAAGAACCTTAACCTCAATGATTTAAAATAAAATTCACGAGGAAAGAAAATATAAGTCATAATTTTATTCAACGGAGGATAAAATGAAGCATATTATTGCTACTAATGACTTGAATATGCTTAACTTTATTATAAAAAAGAAAAAAATTATTACCCGTTAAATCCAAAGTTTGTACTCCAATGACTTCATTGAACGAAATTTGTTTAATTTTTTAAATAGATCAATTTGATTATTCTATTCATTTTATTTTACGTAAAGAAATTTGTGTAAATTAAATAAAATCCACACTGATTGACATATTCAAGTGCGATTCATCAACAACAATTATATGCTTAATTTTATCCTCACCGAATAAAATTAGGACTTATATTCTTCCATTGAATAAAATTAGGACTTATATCTTCTTTCCTCATTTATTTTATTTTGAATCGTTGACATTATTGTTCTTTTCATAAGAGTAGTTTGAAGAAAAAAGGGCGGGAATAGAGAAACAACTTTAAAAATGGGTTAAAGATTTAATTTAAT